CACGTGTTTCATCGTTAAAAAAGTCAAATTATTATAAAAATCTTATCAAAAGAAAAGGAATTTTTCCAATATTAAACTGTAAAGAAGAGAAAGAGTATTATTTGGTTATGGTTGATAAAATTGGACTATTGGAACAAGTACGAGAAGATGAACTTATCAACCATCCGAGACAGATGGACTCCAAACAATTTTTATTTCATAATTTGTAAGTCATAAACTCCATTACTTAACCAAATAATACCCTTTCTCTTCTTTACAGTTTAATATTGGAAAAATTCCTTTTCTTGTATATTTCCCTTTAATTAAGTAATTAAATTACACAATGTACTTTCAGTCGTGCCTGATGAAGGAATTAGTTATTCCGAAACTTGTTGCACCGAAATAAATTTTAATAAAACAAAGCTTCATCGTTAACCTAGAGTTTTAATAGTTCTATCAATATTGAACGATGAATATTGAATTTACAATTGCTAAATCTAAAGACAGATTCTATACTTCTTTTCATGTTGTAGTAGGGAACGTAATTTTAAGTTAATAATATTTTTTAGTGTTCTGTCAACAGTATCTAGTTTTCTGACAGCTGTATCGAGTCATTTGTGTGCAGTATCTGATCTCCTGCTAACAGTATATTGTCTTTTAAATTAGTATTTAGTTCTTTCCAAACAGTCTTCTTCTTCTCAAAGCATTGTCTAGTCGCCTACAAACAATATTTAATCTCCTATAAGCAGTTTTTAGTCTCCTGTATGCAGCATTAAATTCTGCGAGTAGTAAATCGTCTCCTACAAGCAGTATTTAATTTTCTGCAAGTAGTATCTAATCTCCTAAAATCATATTAACTACTGCCAGCAGTACATAGTCTCCTGTGAGCAGTATCAAGTCTCCTGCAAACAGTATTTAGTCTCCTACAAGCAGTATCTGTTCCCATACAAGCAGTATCAACTCTTGCGAGTAGTACAGGGTGTACAAAAAGTATGGAATAATGGTTCTACAGCCTTAACTTATATTAAAAAGAGTTTTAAAGAAAAGTTACTTGAAACTATTTTCCGCATATCTTGGTGGGGGTTCTCAACAGACCAGTATCGACAATAGTGTCTATTCACTTTTCCATTCAAATAAAATGTGGCTTCGTTAGAAAATATTATGTTATTAACGAAGTTCGAATCATCGTTTTAAAATTTTATGAACGGTTGATTTACTAATGTCCAAATTAGACCCAATACTTCTTACAGTAACATGAGGGTTTTCTTGCCCAGCTAAAACCACGATTTGTTGAACTTCCTATAAAACATTTATTAAGCCAGACTTCGAGAGATGGCCATGCTGTTTAAATTTAGTCACAGCTAGGCTCACTATACTTTTGCTAATGAGTTGGCGATCAGGATATGTTGTATTAAAGAGGTCAACTACTCACTAAATCAGTTTTTGACACTTAGGAAATTGTTTAAAATAATTGGTTACCATAATTACTCACGGCTACTGCTATTTTCATCATGTCAACAAATCTGAAGTAGTTAAACTTTAAAGTAATTTTTCTCGAAAATTTTCTTATGTAAGTAATATTAATATTGACTGTATTAGATTCAGAAAAAAATCTTCTTTCATATTCCGTAATAAAAATGGGGGATTGCCGTTTGAAAAAAGTACCGATGACGTCATAACTCACTTAAAAATGGCGGAAGAAATTTAAAATCTACACCAAACAATTGCAAAAAAATTAAACCTTTAAACCCGTTTCAGGAATTTTTCCATAAATCATTTATAATGATTTTATCGCCTATACCTTTTTTTTTAAGATAGTCACATAAATGTTCTATGGGATTGAGATCGGGACTGTTAGGTGGCCAATCAACAGCATGCAAGTAGTCAATAACCTGTCTAGCCACGTGAGGACATGCATTATCTTGTATGAATACAAAATTAGGACCAAAAAAAGGAGCAAATGGCGTTAAGTGTTCAAGTACGATGTTTTCCAGGTAATAATCCGCATTCATAGACCTCGCACGTATAGGGACCAACGCTGTGCGAGCGTCGAAGCCTTTGATTATATACAGGGTGTCTCAGCGAGACCGGTCATTAGACGTTTCTGTGGTTCTGGCCAAAATAAAAAATTGAGAATTCAAACTTAAGTATTATCAATTACGTTCTCTTCGTCTAAAATATTTTCAGATTTCTAGCACTTCCGGTTATACCGGAAGTCGCCACCTACTTTATTTTTTTAAATGGAACACCCTGTATATTTTTACATATTTGGATTTGTCTGTTTTCAAGGTTTATAAATAACTTTACTTTTTGTAATTTGATT